AAAAATGGGAACAAAGTCTTTGTAAATAGGGAGGGATGGAGGGGTTGAAGGGAGGGCAGGGGAAGGGGGAAAAATAACCAAGAGAGTATGTAAAGGTGCATATCTCCAATGATGAATGTCATTATATTGTATGCCTAAAATGTACCAATAAAAGGATATACAAAAACAAAAAAAAAGAAACAGTCTCATGAAAATTAGGCATCAACCATTACAGAACATCCATCCAAGTGACTGTCCACCTTGCTATTCAATGTCTTTATCCAAGATTCCATGGGAGACACATTTAAATCTGGTGGCAGGAAAATCTTTGTCTTTCCAAAGATACCATTCATTCTTTCTCTTTGGTAAGAACCATATGGCTTATTATCTGCCTGGGATGCATGACAATCAAGTCAGAAGCACTGTACATTCACAGTAACTCATTTTCTCCTCCCTACCTTGCTTTCAATTTCCTTTATTTTATTTAACTTAATACAGTAGATTGTAAGCTTTCTTTAAATCACTTGTGGAATTATGTGAGATATAAATACTTGGAAAAAGAAGTTTTACATTTACTCGGCGATTATGTTTTGTTAAAGGCAAAAAAACAGAATCTGCCTTAAAGCTATGACTCCAAAAAATATCAGCTCTAGAAAGGTTCTAGAATTGGATTCTGTACGAATTACAAAACAACAAAAGAAATGCTTAGGTTAAAGAAATATTTCTCCAATGATCTGACCAACCTTGGATTTAGCTCAGTGGTTTCGCTGCCTGCTGCACAAGCGCAAGGACCAGAGTTCGATCCCCGGTACCAAAAAAATAAATTAAATAAGTAAATAAATAAAAATTAAAAAGAACACCTAGGGCCGGGGATTTAGCTCAGTGGTTCCTCCGCCTGCCTCGCAAGTGCAAGGACCCGAGTTCGATCCCTGGTACCAAATAAATAAATAAATAAATAAATAAAAATTAAAAAGAACAGCTAGGGCCTGGGATTTAGCTCAGTGGTTCCGCTGCCAGCCCCACAAGCGCAAGGACCCAGGTTCGATCCCTGGTACCAAAAAAAAAAAAAAATTAACAGCTGTGTCACCTGGAACAAGTCACTGAGACTCTCAGTAAAAGGGAGCAGAACAGTGTACTTGTCTGAAGGGATGGTGCTGGGTTTCATAACTAGCAGTGTCACAGAATTTCATGTCACGATTCATCATTTGAATGATGAAAATACCTATGTCACTCTCATACTTTGATAAGTGTGATGGCGAAATTTCATATGTCTATGAAAACAGTAAGAAATTATCACAAACTAATTTGACCACTATTTATGTTTCTTTAAAATGGCTCAGAGATGGCATCTGAGAATCTGACAGGCCAGTCCCCTTTCCACAGGAAGTATCTGTCACCCAGGTTCTTTATTCGCTTTTTTTTTTTTTTGCAATACTGGGGATAGAACTCAGGACCTTGCACTTGCAAGGCATGGTGCCACTGAGCTAAATACCCGGCCCTTGCTTTGTTTTTTTGAGACAGAGTCTTGCCAAGTAGTTCAGGCTGGCCTTAAACTCATTAAGTAGCCCAGGCTGGCCTCGAACTCACAACAGTCCTCCCGGCTCAGGCTCCCAAGAGCTGGGAATAACAGATGTGTATTACCACACCTGGCATCAACCAAGTTCTTGAAACCGTTTAGGACATCTCCCCTTACTTATGCCCCAACAGAAGGAGAATCCAGAATGAGACATCCACAAGTCTTCAATTTTAAGGAAGTACTCTAGATATAAACAAGGAACCTTGCAAATGTAAAACCTTAAAGGTAATTTGGTCCAACTACTCATGCAAATCTGAATTCAAATTGAGTCTCAGCTGTCTCTGAAAGGTAATGTACTGTACATTTTTCTTTGGTGGGGGACGTTTTATACTGATTTTTACTGAGATTAAATCAACATTTGGGAAATTCTTCTAAAGATATCAAGGGAATACCCTTTGTTCACAGTTCAAGAGGAAACTTTCTACTGGTCAGCTGACCCTGTGAGTCCTTTTACATGTATTCTGGGCATCTACAACCCCAGTCATAAAATACAAAAGGAGTTATACGTTGTACATTAATCCTGGGACACATCAGAAATACCTGAGGACATTTCAAAACTAAGATTCCCCAAGTCTCTAGATTCTGATTTATTCACTATGAGGTGGGACATAATTTTAAAGTTTTTTAGATGATTCTAATATGCATCCAGGGTTGCGAGCCACTGTTCTTAACAAATGAAAAATTATGCAAAGGTTTAAATTAAAAAAGATTTCATATTTCCAAAAGAAAAAAAAAAAACTTCATGGCATGGGTAATTTAATATACCTGAGAGATGACATTCAATCTCTCATTAAATACATATGAATTTTCCTAATCATATCCATTTTTAGGATTAATAAAACATTAAGATTAGGATTGGATCTTCTCTTCCACAGAATAAATATATAATAACAATTAGATTTCACCTCAGATAGACTGGAAATTATTTATCTACCCTGACTTGTTCATTCATAAATAAGCCAAATAATAAAATAACTATTACTTGTCATAGAGTAGGCATCCAAATATTTCCTACAAGACAAGAGATAAACACTGTTTCTGCATGAATGTCTTGCTTCAAAAACACTGATCCAAAAGAAGCAGGGAGCAAGAATGTCTCGGAGAATAATGTCAATGGTAACAGTTATGAAAATACCAGCAAACACTCAGTGCTCAGACGTGCCCGGGCCTATTAGGGAGAGGAAAAGGCCACGGCAGCCTGGACCCAGGCCTGTTCCTGAGTCTAAGCACACTCACTGACAGAGGGTGACTTCAACTCCTGCTCCTTTAATCTGATCCTGTCTTTCACAGATGTCATCCCTTTACACACGCCAATCTTGGAAACCCTATTCTGGAACATGCTGTTTGCTATTCAAACAATAAAGTCTGGCTGCACCAATCACTTCAAATATAGTATTTCCCCATCGCAGTTGTTCACTGTGGACTCATGCGAGCACAGAAAGCAAGCAACAAACAAAAGCTCTTCCTAAGGGTATGGACCGCAAAGGACACACTGGGCAGGAACAGAGCTGGAGGGGACAGAGGACAACTGGCTGGGGAGACAGAGAAGCAGCAAGAAAGCCGCAGATGCTTGATGATGAACATTTCAAACTGAAGCCCATGCTTCTCTCAAAAGGAGAACTCAAAGACATCACCATTTTGAATCACTTCATTCTGACATAATAAAGCAAAATTAGTTACCTATCTCCAAATCTGCAAGCTCCCGTTTTACTGTAGAATGGACAATTGGCTCGATCTTTTTCCATTACTCTTAAATCCGTGGGTGGTTCTGGGTTCTGCCAGTTGGTACCATTTTCCAACTGCTGAAAATAACCATGACTTTATGGTAGTATAAATAATCCATAAAAGACTACATATTTCCAAAATATTCAAATAGTTTCACCAAAAATTTTAAAATGGCTTCATTTGAGAACATTCACATTTAGGATATAATATAATACACAATTAAGACTTTACAAGATACTCTCTTGGTGCCCAGTCACTTTCTTTGACCATGCATCAATACTGCTAGCATGGGCAGTCACCAAGACTTCCCTTCTGTCCATCCATCCTGAAAAGGGTCCAAAGACTTGGCAAACCACCACTGAGAGAAGCAGAAGTTACTCTGAGTCAAGGTAAACTGGCCATTTAGGACTGACAATATGTGATGCTGCTGACATACTTGAAGGACCCTAAACAAGTACAGTACACAGGGTGATTCAATACTGTTTGGTTTTGTTCATCAATAAATGTTTGTCATCATATAAACCCAAGAGAGACAAAAGTGGTACCACATATCCAGACATGATCTAAATAGCCTATACCCACCACAAAATTAACATTACTGGAACTACTGTTTCTAATGAAATATTAATTGGTCTCAAAGTCTTAATGAAAGGTCTTTAAAATACCTCATTTTCAGCCTGATTCAGCAGCTTCTGTACCGCTTCCTACAAATGGTGCAAACATAGAACTAATGAAAGCCTGAAAGTCAGGTTAAGTCACATCTGGTTTCTCTGGTTAAGAATCTCATGTACAACAATGTTTTACACACACACACACACACACACACACACACGCACACACACAGCTTCTGGTTCTGAGTTTCATTCTAAGCATCTTCTGAAAAACTTTCAAAGGATATATAGCTTAGAATTTTAAAATTGCAGATCAAATTGGAAACTATTTAAAATAATCTCATGATGGTTTTAGTAACAGTAATGTTTAGTATATTTGACCATATTATACCATGTTATAGTTTTTAACATAAGGTATTAATGACTATTATAAAATACAATGCTGGGTGAAACATAAATATTTAACAGAAGCTAAAATATATGACCAGTAGTAATTAGGATGGATGAAAAATTTCAAAGTTTTCAATAATGCAAAAGATATCCTGCAATGTGCCAGCAAATTTCTACCTAATTGGTATTAAAGTAGTTTTAAATTATGTTCCGCAGACTCTTCTTCTCTAGCTCCTTAAAGCAATAGATATTCTCATTTAATGGCCTACCTGTTTTAACAACTGTTGAAACGTATGATTTATCTTTTTTTTGTACAGCTCTGTACATCTTATTTATAGAGCCTCAATGTCTTTTTTGTACAGTACACCTTGTTTACACAGTACTGTAATTTTTACTGATTGTACTGTACAGTGCAGTACTGCAGTTTTATGTGGTTATACATTACAGTACTGCATGGAAGAGTTACGCAAATAAAAGCAAAGTCATCAAGTTGGTGTTTGACCATATATTTGTTCTAAATATTGTATTGTACATACTATATGCAATTCCTCATTTAGCGACCAAATCACTTAACGACCTGGTCACAGGACCATGACTCGGTCATTAAATGAAGAATGTTTGTACATTAGACTTGTATCTAGCTACTTACCAGATAACTCTACCTGGTCACATAAGAGTCTGTGGTAATTTAACATGCTCAAAACAGAGATCTTTTGTTTTTTAATTTCTCTGGTGCTGGGGATCAAGCCCAGGGCCTTACACATGCTAAGTATGCACTTTGCCACTGTGCTATACCCCTAGTTCAAAACAGAGCTCCTGTTCTCCTCTACCACCCACCCCCACAGCCTAATTAAATAAGCCTCTCAATAAATAGTTCTGCCACCTGCCCATCTGTTCAAACAAAAAACCTAAAAATGTGACTCGAGCACCCTACTTTTCCTTCTCCATTCATCCAACCTACCAGCCAGAGTCCTGTTAACTCTGCCTCCAACACAGCCCAAATTCTTGTAGTTATCATTTTAAAGCACTACCACCATCCAAACCACCATTATTTATTTCCCTCTTACCAGCTTAGTCACCATTCCCCATCCCCCATTCTCTGATCTGTTGAAGGTAACAGTATGAATGTAATGAAGTCACTCCCATTTTAACACGTCAATTCCTTCCCATTTCATTTACCATAAAATCCATAGCGCTCCTCCAAATCCAAGAGGACCTGCATGATCTGACCCTTCCTACCCTTCTGAACTCTTCCCATGCCCCTGCCCTACTCTCCTTTGGTCTCTTGGTTTCAGACACCCTGGTCTTCTTTCCACTTCTAGGCCACTTCCCCCAAGATCTCTATGCTCAGGTGTGGGTTCAAATACAAAAGACTCAAGTCTTGCTTCTTACTTGATAACTATTGCGTCCTGGGAGATTTCCTTGACCAGGCAATCTAAGTACTGCTCTATCCCCATCACTCCATCACATCACTCTTTGCTTTATTTTTTTATATTATTTAACATTATTGGGCTGGGGATTTAGCTCAGTGGTTCCGCCGCCTGCTGCGCAAGCACAAGGACCCGAGTTCGATCCCAGTACCAAAAGAAGAAAGAAACTTAACATTATCTTACTATATTTTAAATGATCATTTTGTTTACTCATCATCTGAGTCCCTCATCTAGAAAAGTAGTCAATAAAGAGGGACTTGTTTCTCACTGCTCTATCTCTGTCCATCAGAGATGTAACAAACACAAAGCAGAAACACACACTGCATATTCCCTTATACATATTAGAATCTATTTCATTTTATCAACTTCTTAACATCTCACCAGTCTTCCTTTGAAACAAAAGCATTTATTTAAAAGAAGCCTTAAAACTGGGTGTGGTGGTGCAGGCCTGTAATCCAACCCAGCATTCGGGAGGCTAAGGCAAGAGAATTGCCAGGAGTTCAAGGCCAGCCTGGGATACACAGTGAGTTTAAGGCCAGCCTGAACTACATAGCGAGACCCTGTTTCAAAACTAACTAACTAAAATAAGCCTGATCCCTGAAAGGCCTTAGTTGAAGAGTATTCTACAGTTAAAGAGGAATTGATTCCTCTCTATAAAATATGACAAGCTCCAAACAATTTTTGTGCCTCCTAAAAACCTAGAATGATGCTGCCTCATTAGAAAGCAGTGCTCAAATAAAAGTGTCAAAAATTTGCATTGGAACAAATGCCTGAAACACAAGAACAAAGGCTGTGGAGGCTGCTTCTACTCCATCATGACTAGGACGTAAACAAATCCATCTTTCCCCATTACAAGGTGACTGTCCAATGTTATGCTTTCAAATTTAGCATTATTCCAAAAAAGATACATCCTGATGAATCGGTTAAAGAAAGAGAACCCATGCTATTTTTTTTTTGTACCAGGGATCGAACTTGGGTCTTTGCGACCCATGTTATTTTTGAAATATACTGTTAGGAAATAGCAGCAGGGCTGGGGATTTAGCTCAGTGGTGCTGCACCTGCCTTGCAAGCTCAAGGTCCTGAGTTGATCCCCGTACCAGAAGAAAAAAAAAAAAAAAGCAGCATAATAATCTTTTAAAAAGGAATCCTAGACGATATAGAAGACATATATATATATTAGATTTCTTAATTTCTCAATATTTGAATTCCTTATTTCTTTAAATCAAGTAATTCTTGCTGATATGTCATAAGCTGCTAAATCTCCTATGAACAAAATAGATGTGGAAACTATACAAAATATTATTCTCTAACAAAGTCAACACATACACAATAGAACCACAGAATAATGCTACTCGCTATACAACGGTACAGAGTGTAAAGCAGGGGCCAGCTGGCTGTTTTGCAGAAATGCTTTACTGGAATGCAGCCACTGCAATTCATTTACATATTATCTGTGGTTGCTTTCAGGGTACACTGGCAGAGTGTACACTTTGCTACCGAGACCATACAGACATTAAAGCCTAAACCATTTACTATCTGGCCCTTCAGAGAAAAAGTTTTCTAATCCTTGATATAAAGGGATTGGGTAAAGCTGAAGAAAACCTTAATTTAAGGAATCTGCCTCTCCACCAACCCAAAGAAGAGCATCATAAGGAAACTCTAGTGTATCTTTAGACTAAAAATATGACCCTTTCCAAACAAACAAAAGATACAACCTAAAAGAAAACAAAAACCAAAGCCTGACATGCCCATAGCTTCTTCCAACCCATCATACAGCTCACGTGCACGCTAGAAGACACACTGTATGTCTGTCCTAGGACAGCAATCACCTCTCTTTCTCTCTTCTCCTGCAGCTTCTGCTCTTCCTCCTCTTTCTCTTTTCTCTGCTGTTCTTCCCATTCTGCCTTTAACTTTCTCTTTAGAGGAAAAAAAGACAAGAAGGTCATTTATTTTTAGGCTCACTTTTTAAACATATTTAACACAGAGAGCAAGTAAATGAATACTTTAAAACTACTGGTAAAATGGATATCAGTTGTTTTCAGTTCAAGATAAATAACTCAATGAAAGTTATCATGGTTAACTGCAGTACTCAGCTAGTGAATTATTGAATTAATACTGTACCTCTTGTTCTTCCTGTCGTTTTCTAGCTGCCTCTTCCCTTTCCTTCTTTATCCTGAATTCTTCTTGTGCCTTCTGCTCCCTCAGCAACCACTCCTCATGTAATTTTTGCCTATTAATATAATGATGTAATCAAAAAAAGAAATGGGAATTAAACTACAAATAGACACACACAGGCAATAGCAAACAAAAACAAAAATGACATGTTTTGGAAATGATTAAAATACTATGAAAGCAGTCAAGTAGAGGTAAGAGAACCAGAAGATACGAGCAGAGCTTTTGAAAAAGCAGTCAGACTTATCTCCCTACAGAGTAATAAGGTGCAATTACTATGTCTACATTTTTTTCTCCCAGTACTGGGGATGGGACCCAGGGCCTTCACACTGAGCTACATCCCCTGCTCCTTTTTATTTTGAGACAGAGTCTAGCTAAGTTGCCAAGGATGGGCTTAGACTTAGGATCTTTCTGCCTCAGCCTTCCAGAGTGCTGAGTAGCTGTCACATCTTTTATATGAAAGGATAACACTAGGACTTTACCTTTAGGCTGATCACAGTGATGACGAGGTGCTAATAGGTGGGTAACAAGTTTCAAAGCAACATTTAGCTTTTCATATTCTTCATATTCTATGCATTTATTATAATTATGAATACATATTAATTGTACAAATTAATGGGTTTCACTGTGTCATTTCCTCACGTGCAAATCCATGACTGCAGCAATATGAATACTGGGCATCTCTTACCATAAACCTTTGGACTACTGCCTCACACAACTAAGAGACTCCTATGACTACCTTCAAACATTTAACTACTGGGGGGGGATACATTGTGAACATAACTTTAAAATAAAGAAACCTATAGATATTTTTTAAAAGATGAAGTTATAAAAATAAATTAGCAAGTGTATAGTTTTGTTGTTGTTGTTGTTGTTTTGAGACAGGCTCTTGCTCTGTAGTTCAGGCTGGTCTTGAACTCACTACATAGCCCAGGATGGCCTTGAACTCTTGGCAATCCTCCTGCCACAGACTCCTGAGTGCTGGGATTAAAGCGTGTGCCACCACACTCAGCTTAGTTTCTTTTAATGACCAATTATAAGAAGTATTGTTACCTAAAACCAGTAAGATTCTCAAACATCAATATCACAAGTTTCTAACTTAAATAGAGGTTGTGTTTCCAAAGTTTATTTATCAATCAGATGTTTAGGTTTTATCTTCTCACTTATTTTGTAAAAGGGAAATGAAATATGAGAAACTCTTCAATATTACTTCAGCAACATTAGGAATTAAATAAGGTTGTATGTTCAGCCTGAGGACTTAACCATAACTTAAATATTCTATGGGAAAATATATCCCATCTCCAACCACCGATTCCAGGAACACATCTTTTAGCCATGGTAAAAGCCAGTGTATTGCATAAAGCAGCATTCCTATGCATGCTATAGGGAACCATATAGATGCTTCAGTGTGTAGAACTCTGATTTATGAATCTTTTGAGGAACATATTAATTGTATACAATTCAGCCAAATGGTATACAAATTTAAGACCACAGAAAAGTAAAATGTTAAAAACTTGACAATTTAATAACTTGAATATACTATACATCTGCTTTGAAATAGGACATAGAGCCATATAATATTTTCACATAACTTTCCTGTTTTTTCAACATTAATTCAAGTAGTATGCAACTTATAGAGGAATAAACAAAGATCAAAGGAACACAGGTACATGCAATTTAAAAGATGCATTTCAAGTAAACAAGAAAATAAAACTTCTCTATTTCATACTATATATATATATGTCTTCATAACAGAAATCTATAATAAAAGCCAATAATTACAGCATCTCCTAACACTTGTCAAGCACTATACACATATCATCTCATTTAATCTTCACAATTCAAATACTATTGATTTTATCTCCTTATTAAGGACAAGGAAATTGAAGATTAGAGAGATTAAAAATTTGAACACTGCTATTAAGTAGCAGGGGCCAGGGCGGGAACTCAGATCTGGGTGAACCTAATTCCATGTTCTTAATCACTGCTACTCTTTTTTTGGTGGGAGGGGGGCATTTTGATAATTCCAGCTACTTATATGCTTAGGTAGCTAACAGGAACCAATTACAAGAAAAGCAGCAACATTTCCAGTGATCTTGCTAAACAGCTAGAAAATACCATTAAAGTTTTTTGTCCTTTCTAAAAAAAATTGTATTTTTTATTGTGGTACATACCTAAAATTACCTAAATTTTAGGTAATTTACCTAAATTTTAGGTATACATACCTAAAATTTAGCATTGTAACCATTTGTAAGTTTACAGTTGAGTGGCATTAAACATATTCACATTAGTGTGTGCCACATTAAAACAAAACAAACTACCCTCTGAAAAATACTAAGAGAAAGAATATTTTCATCATCTTGGATTAGGGAAGACCTTTTAGAGTCAGAGACATCATTCATAATGCAAGTTAACAACACGAATATCAAACCATAGCAATACCATAAGCCAAGTTAGGATTGGCAACAGATAAATATACATCGCACATATGACAAATATCCTTAATAGAGTAGTAACATTGCTTACAAAACATTAAAAAGCAAGTATCCCAAAAGAGAAAGGTGCAAGACTTAAGCAACCCACAAATAGGCAATAAAATATATAAAAAGATATTCAAATTTACTAATTCAGAAATGTACATTTGAAACAATGAAATACAACTTTTCACTATAACAATTTTCACTTTTTACACTTGTTACTTGGGGTTTTTTTTTAAAGCATTTACCAATTACCAAAAACAGTGAAAAATATTTCCATTTTTAAAAAGGATAACATCTAGTTTTAGCCCATCAGCTTAATTTAAGTAGTTTATACAGGACATTTCATAAGACCTATTTTGTACAAGATTTTATACAGAAAACCAGTACTAGTTAGTAAAGGATGATAATACTGCAATAAAATAACTGAGTTCTATTAGTGTTTCAATTAGTACTGACCTCTCGCTCTCCAACTGCTTCTCTTCTAGTTGTTGCTCTTCAATTAAAGTGTCTTCTTCCTCCTCCTTCTGTGAGGCTTCTGAGGAAATTCAAATGTTTTATTAAACTGAGTATTCTAAATCCTTGGTCAATAATTGAGGGGAAAAATACGTACAATCTTTATAATTATAGCAAAAATAAACCTGTAAAAATTTTCTAATAATAAGGGTTTTAAACTTATTACAAAGTGACCATCAAGAAGAATAACGGCAGCCGGGGATTTAGCTCAGTGGTTCCGGCGCCTGCCTCGCAAGCGCAAGGTCCCGAGTTCGATCCCCAGTACCAAAAAGAAAGAATAATGCTAGTGGATAACACATTAAATTTAAAAATCAATCAATGGTTCCATTGTGATATTCAAAAAGGTGGTGAGGGTATAGGAAGGAACATCCATCTTTAGAAAAGAAGGGAAACTAAAAAATGCAGAAAGACAAGTAGAAAAATTATCACGTTTGTAATTCCCACTGTAAAAATTAATGTACAGATGTTAAAAAATGTTGGAAGAAAGCTTGTTGGGAAAAGGACATTTACATCATCTCAAAATATCACCCCACAGATGAGGACTAACTGGAAAGGGAAAAAATGAACCCTTCCCAAAGGGTAATCTGTTCACTAGGAGTGGTACAACCTGACATTATAGCTCTTAAAATGCATGCAATAAGACCTTTACAACACCTGCTCTGTAGTATTTTGTCATTAGGAGTGTTTATAACACAAAGATAATCATGAGAGGATACACTAATCCAGAATGCAAGGCATCCCACGGGACAAAGGGCTTGACCTTTTCAAAACAATCAGTCTTGGTTTGAGGAAGTTTCATATGGCCTGTATATCACAACACCGAATTCCTGTTTGTTTACACTGGTACAAACTTGGTACTGTGGTTCTGTAGGAGAACATCCTTATTCTGAGGAGATGCAGGCTGAAGGTTTTAGGGATGAGGTGCTGTGATACCTGCCAATGCTGTGTAAAAGGTTCAGAAAAAATTTGGTATGTGTCTATTTCTCTATATAAATAAAAAGGCCAAATGTTAACAATTGACAAATCTAGCGGGAAGAGATCATAAATATTGTATTATTTTTTTTAACTTTCTAAACATTGGAACACTGTCAAAAGAAAAACAAGGTAAAATAATTTTTAATAGAAGAAAAATATATTTCTTGTATTTACAATTTAAATTTGAGGGGGAAACAAGCAGTGAAAATGGAGAAGAAATGTAGGGGGAGGGAAATGTATCAATCCTAAGGAAATATAACAGATGATTTCAGGCTTAAAGGAAAAAGATTTTGCGCTTATCACACATTTCAGGTATAGGTCTAACCAAAGGCTCACTAAGTCCCAGATCATTAACATAATTTAGTTTTCTTAAATAAATAAACTTAATTATTTTAGCACTTGAAATTAAAGCATACCAAAAATTTAGGCTAAATTCTATCTCACATAAAATAATGTCTAAATATTCAGATAAATAAATGATCTAGTGTTCATAATGGGCCAGAGAACATGACATGGAAAATAGGGCTCTACCTCACAGAGATATGTCCACAGACTAGACATGGCCTGTATACAGCTGATACTGACCCACTCACTCTCCATCCCCCCTAAAACAAGCTCACTCACACCACAGAGGTGATCAGTAACAGTTCTAAGTGTAGCATTTTCTCTATAGGCACAATCAAAATATATGCAAGGATACATATAAGCAAAATACTATTAGCTGGGCATGATGGTGCACGCTGTCTGTAATCCTAGCACTCTGAGAGGCTGAGGCAGCAGGATCACAAGTTCCAGCCCAGCCTGGACAACTTAGTGACTTCGTAAGACCTTGTCTCAAAATAAAAAATAAAAGCGGACTGTGAGATGTAGGTCGGAGCAAAGGCCCAGGGTTCAATCCCCAGTACTGCCAAAAAACAGAAAACAAACAAACAAATAATATATCTAATTGTATTACACATGTAAATATATACAAAATCTGGGTAGGTTTTTTTTTGGTACTAGGGATCAAAGTCAGGACCTTGCGATTGCAAGGCACACAGCCGAACCACTGAACTAAATCCCCGGCCCCTCTGGCTACAGTTTTGCAACTTGCAAGCAGTTCATTTTGGGTTAACTCAAGTAGAACTGGGTGCAAAAAAGGCTACTGAAAGGTCACTATTTCAGAAATTTCTGCCAATCACTTGCCAGTACACTCTTACAGCAATGCTCTTGATGGTCCAGCCTTCTGGGTAACATTTGCCCATCTGATGCGTGCTACAACAAAGAGCAGTGTTCCACAGTCCACAGTATTCATGAAAAACCAGTAAATAAGGGATCATGAATTGGAGTGGGCAAAACTAGACAGATGCTGAGTCTTAGATCTCCCACTAGTAATATAATCTTGGGCAGACCAGTACCTGGATCCTTCAACGGACTAAAATGCCAATGGATATGATCCACCTGACTCCATGAAAGCTCACTCTGAATGCACCTTTCAAAGTCAGACAAACAAAACATCAACACAATACAAATATCAACTATTAAAGATTTAAGAGAAGGAAAGAAAAAAAGGAAGAGGGTGTTTAAAAAGGTATGTATGTTAGGATGAAACAGATTAAATGAGGAAAGGAAGCAGGGAGCTTCAGGGGTAGGTGGGCAATGAGGCCATCAATAACTCTGGCCTACTCTTGTTTTACCTTTTATCCCTGACACTATGTTCTGCCTCTAGTAGACCAGTTTTCAACCACTAAGAGAAAGATGCTGATACAGGTTGCAGGTAAACACAGAAATTCTTTCTTCCATACTATCTATTCCAAGTGCTGCTACTAAAACAGTTACTTGGGGACTCCAGTGATAAATGAAGCCTCTAAAGGTCTGTTTCTCAAGGCTCAAGAATCCTGGTTACATGAGGCCATGGTCTTGGGAGTTCATATACTGTCTAGGGTAATTTAATAATCATAGTCCCAAGAGAGATTATGTAAAGGTGCAAATTTCCCATGATGAATGTCATTATATTGTATACCTAAAATGTACCAATAAAAGAAAAATTTTTTTAAAAAATGAAAAATAAATAAATAATCATAGTCTGGATAACATGGCTGGCAACTATTGGAACCCCATACTCGTGTGTGATTTTAGTGCTCCTGCCCCCATTTATAAATCCTAATTCTATTGTATTAAATAGGTACGTTTAACATATAAATGTCAGGTTCTGCCATGCGAAGGCCAAATGGCATCATGGCCAGCTGTACAAATGAAAGTTATAGTAGTTTAATGGAGAAAAAATGATAAACTACCATAGAACAACAGTACTAGAGGCATTCCAAACTCCCATCAGCATCTTATTCATGTTGTGAAAAGCATCTGCTTCACATCATCCTTGGCATTACATTAATGTAGGCATGAATTTTACTGGAGGTTTAATTTCATTTGGATTTATAATCTGTACATGTATTGTTTTATAGTTAAATAAGAGTTTTATAACTAGTTTTATGCTGATGAGTACTAAAAGAACACTAATTTGCGTCAACAAAGGGTCTTCTATTACTAAACTTTGAGGAAAACTTCCAAAATGACAAATTGAAACCCTCGATTTCTGCTGGTTTTTACAAAGAAAACTATCCAAGGAATACCTGCTATGTGTGGGAACTGTGCTACAGGTAGCTGCTGTGATTCCTGATGCCTGCACCTGTACTATTACTTTACAAACACTGCTAGTAAACAGAAATCTGCGGATGATGATTCACCTCGACTTTTAACTCTTTAGCGTGTTAGAACTGTTCCTGCCAACGGGTCTAACACAGCTTTACCCGAAAGGCAGCAGCCACAGCAGCTCAACGGGATACAGTATCCGATTTCCTTCTGACACTGGGGCCTCAAGTTTGGGGGGGAGGAAAGGAGCGATTTCACACCCAGAAAACAGGACGAGTCTACTACCTGAGTCTCTCAATCGAGCGAGTTCCTGACGGCGTTTCTTTCGTTTCTCCTTCTTGAGCGCGGCCCTGTACTTTTTGTGGCTGGCAGATTGGAAAACACAAACACAACAGCATCAGCGGCTGCACCTGCAGCGCTGGCCGCTTCTCCGCGCCCGCTGACAGGAAAACGATCGGGAGCTCGGCAGAGAAACCTTGCGAAACGAGTTTTAATTACAGAACACGCCACTGCCATCACCTCACCCTTCCACGCCCAGACAGCAGGTCTTCTCCCATTTGCCACCTGTCCGCACCTCACCTCCCCGAGCCCACCGACGCCGGTGTCAGTGAGGAGCACACCTCGAAAACGTTTACGGTTGGAGCTGCTGCGGTGGCTCGCTCCGTCGGTTCAGCTCCCATTTCCTCCCTGCCTGCTCATCTTCCATACCCAAATCCGGCCTATGCCGTCCCCTTTCTTGCCAATTCATCTCCTCTAGCGGAGCCTACCTCCGTTTCTCAAGAAACACTGACCACTCCGGCGCCGCCATCTTGCCGACGCTGCCCCGCCCCCCCACCCGGACGGAAGAGGCGGGACTAAGAGCCGCAAGGCGCAGGCGCAAGTGTAGCGTGATTTCAGTTTGGACGAGACCAAAGACCAAAGGCGGGGAGGCAGGGAGGCGGGGAGGTACTCAGCTACTACTACTAATCTGCTAAAACGCTAGCTAAATAAATGTCTCCTTCCTGAAAACTCCTCTAGAGCTCTTACACCACCCTGGAAGTAATCTTTTTCTCCTCAACGTTTCCTTAGTGCTTTAGCACCATCTTTTCCCACCCCGCAGCATACCGAGACGTCTAGGGGTCTGGAGGTCAAAGGTAAACCTCTCCCCCCTTTTCTCATTCATTCGCGAAACTTCATTCTTCCCACAACTGCGCGCTTTGCGTCCCTCATGATTTATTCATTCCCCGCCCCCTTCCACGGCTCCACCCATCAGCGCTTCAGACTCCACCCCCTTGCAGTCACGCCCACCGGCTACCTTAATTTAATGTCTGCAGACGCCAAGATAAAACACTGCTCCCAAGGAGTTCACAATTAAGGTATAGATAAGGTGATATATGGAGCCAAAGATGAATTTTACTTAACATATTCCACATGGGAACTCCGGGAGAGTTTCTGATGCTTGAGTTGAATTTTGAAGAAAGATAGCCTTCACCCACGTGGTGAAGGGTAGGAACAGAATTCTAAGCAAATCCTCATAAGCAGAGGCACAGAGAGGTGAAACTAGAATATACTGGGAACAGCGAGAATTTTAATAATTGAATTTAACGTGCGAATGGAGAACATCAACAAACAACGGAAGTCAGGCACGGTGGTGTACGCCTGTAATTCCAGCACTCTGAGAAGCAACTTTGAGCCCAGCCTGGGTAACGTAGTGACTTAGCAAGGTCCTATCTTAAAATAAAAAGTAATAAAAGTTACAAAAGGGCTGGGGATGTAGCTCAGTGCAAAGGCCCTGGGTTCAGTGAGGGGAGCAGCAGAAGAGGTGGACTGGGGCTAGATTATAGGTGAGGGCCTGGTGTGACTTGCTGAGATGTTTTGGGGTTTTTTTGGTACTAGGAATCGAACTCAGGGACTCCTGCTTGCCGGGCAGAGGTTGCACCTCTGAGCTACATTCCTGGCCCTAAGATACTTTAATTACATTCTCTAGTCAAGGCTTTTAAGTAGCAGCCTATTGTAGTGATATTTGTGTTTTAGGTAAATTACTGTGAATTACAACATAGAGGTTTAAAAGATAAAACTGGAGTACAGTATCATAGTAATCTAGGAGAGAAGTGATGGGGAATTAAACTGGGGCAATGAGAAATTGGGAAAGTAAAAATCAGCCTAATAAGCAGACTGTGAGGGCCAGGGATTTAGCTCAGTGGCACCGCGCCTGTCTCACAAGGCACAAGGTCCTAAGTTCGATCCCCGGTACCACAAAAAACAAAAAAAAATCAGACTGTGATGTATACATACAAGGCCAGGAACAATGCTAAGAAAAAAAATGTTTCACCCAAGGACACATTAACCACCCCATCTTTTGAGTGATTGAATAACTTCCCTGGCTTAGCTTAGTTCCTCTTGTCTCCAAATTAAAATCACTGATGGGGCTGGGGATTTAGCTCAGTGGTTCCGCTGCCTGTCATGTAAGCACAAGTTCCCAAGTTCGATCCCTGGTACCAAAATAAATAAATAAAAAAAAATAAAATGAAATCACTGATATACCCCATTAATAAACTGCCCTACTTCTTCCAGTCCTTCCTCCAGAATCTTTCAGTTTGAAGATCAAGGCTGCGTAAAACCTCACCCTCCTCCCTCTTACTAAGACTTAGCAACACATATCCCTCTTCCCCCTTGACCTCCAAATTGTCCTTGCCAAACTCAGTGTATAAATAATTAAAGACATAAGCTTTGTAGTTGAATGTTCCAAGAAACTCAAGCCTTGGCTGTCTGTGGTCTTGAGTAAATTTTTTTTTTTTTTGGTTTTTTGAGGCAGGGTCTCCCTTTGTAGTTCAGGTTGGCCCTGAACTCACTATGTGGCCCAGGCTGGCCTCGAACTCATGGTGATCCTCCTGCCTCAGCCTCCCAAAGTGCTGGGATGACAGGCGTGCACCTGCTTTAAGTAAATTTCTTAATGTCTAATCTTCAATTCTCTCATCTGTGAAAATGAACACAGAAATAATATTCCCCATCTTATAAAGCTTTCATAGTAAACTGGTGCTTGTCTGTAATTCCAGCACTCTGGAAGGTGAGGTGGGAAGGTCACCAGTTCGAGGCCAGTCTGGAGAATTTAGGAATTGTGCAAAACAAAAAAGGGCTAGAGATATAGCCCTGTATGAAGGGCCTGGGTTCAATATGCACTACCACAAAAAAAAAGGCTTTTATGATAAAGATTGAATGATAGGGCCGGGGCTTTAGCTCAGTGGCGCCTGGTCCTGAGTTCAATCCCCAGTACCAAAAAAAAAAAGATTGAATGAGATAGCTCAAGCTATATGTCTATATGTGCCTGGTGACAACAGTGAATATCTCCAAAACGTTTGCTGTCCTGTCATCATTGCCATCATAGGTGTAAAAAACTTCCTGATATCCCCTCCTCCTCAAGAGTCAGAGTGCCATTCCAGCGCATGTCTTCTACCTTTATCACAGGGTAGTGCATGCGTTGCCTTCCCTGGTATGCTTCTCACACTAAATCTTAGAATTTATGAAGTTGGAGATTTGGCAGTTATATTTTCAAACTAGAGAATGCCATGGGTGGCACAGAATGCTGTAGTTATGTAAGTCACCGATTTTGCTGGTCCCCGTGCCTAAGCTAGAATTGAGAGTTGCTACCACTCTGGAAGCACTAGAGTTTGGGTTGCTTTAACATTTCTTATGAATCAGATCAGAATTTCACTCAGAACAATAAGTAAAGATACATTCTAGGAAGATACTCCTAATTGTAAAAAGATACAGATGTAGACTTTGTTTTATTTTAATTTATAAACAAATATAAATCTCCTTTTATAGGAGGTAGACATTTATTTCAATAGTTAACTACTGAATTCATTTTCATGAACAAGCTTGATTTGCTCAAATTAATTTCATTACAGAAAGAACTCTAAAGGCCAATTCTACTTCAAAACTATAATTACCAACATTTGAATTCAATAAGAAAAGACATCTTCCTAAACTTTTAGGGGGTGGATGCTTGGTTTTGGAATAGTCAACTTTACCTTAACCCACATTCAGGACAGTTCTCTGGGTGACCTTGAACCAACCTAATTTCCCTGCATTTCTTGCTTATAGTTCTCAAGAATGACTATAGCATATACTGAGCATGCAGTGTCCTGACATAGGGAATGTTATGGTTTAGATCTACAAGTTCCCCCCAAAATTTCATATGTTCTAAGGTGGGGCTTTTGGAAGGTGATTGGATCATGAGGGCTCTAATTTGCTCAATGGATTAATCCATTGATGAGATCACAGTTTGACAGCATTTTTGGGAGATATCGGACACTTAGGACCCAGTTGAAAGAAATGGGTCATAGGGGCATGACTTTGGAGTCTGTATGTTGTCCCTCTCTCTCTCTCTCTCCTCCCTCCCTCCATCCCTGCCTCCCTCCCTCCCTCCTCTCTCCCTCCTGTGAACCATGAAGTAAGCAGCTTTTCTCTCCACCATATCCTTCTACCATGTCTATGTGTCATCACAGGCTCAAAAGCAATGGACCCAGCTGACTGAAACCTCCAAAATCAGGAGCCAAAATAAACCTTTCCTCCTTTAAGCTGTTACCGTCAGGTGTTTTGTCACAACTATGAAAAGTTAACAGAGCGAGGAACTACCTGAGACAGCCTGGACCTTGTTCCTGCCTTGCCTTGGGAACGTACCATCTTGAATTAGAGAGGAGCCGCCCTGGACAGCCAAACTTTATTCCACTCTCCCCTGGAAGCAGGATGGTCTTCCAAGCCCAATGAGTCCTGCAGCCCCTGAGGCGTGTAACCTGGGGAGGGCTGTTTTTTGGGATCCCACAGATTGTAGTCTGACTGGGGTTACATGGTCAAGTCTTCATCCATCCTGGGGCAGCTTTTTTGAGCCTTGGGGGACCAGCTTACAAATGATCCTAGGCTGCTTTTGTCCCTTGCTGCCTATATGTAAGTAATACATCTGCTTTGTGTAACTTGCTGAGTATGATGCATTCTATCTCACCGAAGCCAGACAATTGGGAACCAGTGCACAGTGAACTTTCTCCACACCATGTAGCCCTGGGAAGGAAGACAGGGGCTGGCAGCTTGCCCTGTATGGCAATGTCAGCAGAGGTGAGCTATGGAGGGTTGGCTGGTTCTTCTCACCACTTCTTTAGTAAATCCTTTATGAGTTTTCCAGTTGCTTTCTGATCTGTATGTCAAAGGGTGTCTCACTAATTTTACAGACATCCTATATGCCAAAACAAATAGGAATGAAAAGTCATTTGAGAGCTATTAATATTGTAAGAAAGTTTCATCAATCTAGTATTATTTAATAAAGATGAGCAGCAATTTTAATACAAAAGTCTTTCTCAAAACCTGGGAGAAATATTAGGCCCATTGTCCGCCTGTATGTTTAGGCAGGCATCACTTTTACCTTTATGTTTAGGATGGTTATCACTTTGGAAGGTGTAAGACGTAAAAAGTTTCTTGCAGAGGTGTAGGGATGGCCAAGATATTTACAGTGCCTCTTGGAGGGTCATATGACAAAATCATGATAGAAGGGACCACAAGCTCAAGGCAGTTTCCGTAATATTTGCAGGGGAAGAGACCAAAAATTTGCCATGCAAACCAGGACATGGTTGAGAAGAAAAGGGGCTCTATTATAATTATACCAGAATAGCAGCTATAAGTAAATCAGGAGCAGTAAACCAGGAAACAGTCACCTTATGAATGCATTCTTTGTGCCTCTAAGACAGAAGAGCAAGTTAATCATTCTGAACATTGGTTTTGCTCCTATCTGGAAGACTCCCTGCAACAGAGTTTTGCACTAAGAGTTTGCAAGAGGCCAGATGGAAACCCCGTGTGCCCTGGAAAATGCATATTTTGTGTGTTTACCCTTTGAAAGGTAACTATAGTTTGACATAGATCAATTGCATGCATTAACCTTTTTTTTTTTTAACTGTGTTTATTTTCTTCTTCAGTGCTGGTGATCAAGTCCAGGGCCTTCTGCATGCTAGCCAAGCGCTCACTTACTTTACTAGTTATCTGTCAGTGAACATTTAGGTTGCTCCCAACTCCCGGATATTGTGAATAATGCTGCTGTGAAAATGGATGGACAAATATCTCTTTGAGATCCTGGTTTGAAATCTTTTGGATATATACCCAGAAAGGGGATTTCTGGACCACAGGGTAATTCTGTTTTTAGTTCTCTGAATAATCTCTGAACTGATTTCTATACTGGCTGCATCATTGTATGTTCTCAACCTCAGTGTACAGGGGCCCTAACTTTTTCACATCCTTGCACACTGATTTTTTGTTCTGATGGCAGCCATCATGATGGGTGTGAGGAATATTTTGCTGAGGTTTTGATTTGCATTTCCCCAGTAATTAGTGCATCTTTCGTGTGCTTCTTGGCTCCTTGTATATAGTCTTTGGAGAAATGTCTATTCAATTCCTCTACTCATTTTTAAATTGGGTTATTTGGTTTGTTGTTGTTATTATTCTTGAGTCACAGAAGCTCCTTATATATTCTGGATAATAACCCTTATTAGGTAGATTATTTGCAATCATTTTCTCCCATTCTCTAGGTTGCCTTTTCACTTTGTTGACTGCTTTCTTTGACAAGCAGAAGTTTGAAATTTGAGGTATTCCCATTTCCATCTGAATCGTCCTTAAGTGTACATACAGTTCAGTAGTGTTCATCCAATCCAATCTTGTAGAGTAGATGACCAGCATATTAATAAGATTCTTCTAGTTTTTGATGAAGTGTTATATCTGAACACAATCTTAGAGATAGTTGCAAACATTCTAAGATACATATAAGGAAACCTAACAGTAGCACCGATTCCCCAAAACATGTGAATTATCTAGATTTTAGATTTCAGCGAATCTGACAAGATTCTCTTCTTGTAACTAATAACAAAAGTCTTCTAAACCACTGTATAAATTGGGAGACTTAAGTTGACCACTTGCCTTATGTGATGGTTAATCTTGGTTGTCAACTTGATTGGATTGAGAGATGCCTAGAAAATTAGTAAAGCACACTTCTAGGTGAATCTGTGATAGTATTCCCAGAGACAGTTGCCACGTGGGACATGAATATGAGTGGCACCATCCATGGGCTGTGGGCCTGGATAGAATAAAATCAGAAGAAGGAGAAAGCTCTCCAGCACAGGCTCTTTCCCTCTTTTTCTGTATCTTGGCTGCCATAAGCTGAGCAACTTTCCACCACCACCCCCATTCACCATAGTGTTTCTGCCTCACCACAGGCCTGAAGCAATGGAACTGGCTGACCATGCACTGAAACTTCTGAAACCGTGAGCCAAAACAAATCTTTCCTCCTTTAAGTTGTTGCTTTCAGGTGCTTTGTTACTGCAATGAAAAGCTAATTGACACACCCTACAAAAAACCTTGAGTAATGAGAAGATAAAATAAAGTTCAGATAGTTTCATTTCTGGCAGTCCTGGGGATTGAACTCAAAATATCATACATGCTAGGCAGGTGCTCTGCCACCGAGGTATAGCCCTACCCCAAGTTTATTTAGTTTCACAGGGAAGCTATGATTGCCTGTCATTGTGGAAATATTACCAATATATTCTATTTTTTAAATATATTCTATATAACAGTGTGCAAATTAATACTATAAATGTAGACTTTTAGATTACTAGTCAATTAAAGAATATTTCTTTAAATGTACCATGAAAGAATTCTGTTCTAGGCATTTGAAGCATTTTCTTTTCGGTACCAGGAATTGAACTCAGGATCTTGTGCTTGCCAGGCAAGCATGGTACCACTGAGCTAAATCTGCGGCCCTAAGCATTTTCTTTAAAATATTCTGCACATATTTTCTATATGATGAAGGCATTAAGTAAAATATCTGATCTTCAGAAATGTAAGAGGATTTCCAGATATAGTAAAATCCTTGTTGTCTCATGATTACAAAATATATTTTTCTATATCATAAATTGGTAATAAGTAAGCATATCATGTATTAGTTATGTCAACTAAAAAGTGGAACAAACATATTTGTTGAGAAGCCCTAGTAAAAGAATATACATTCCCACTTTGAAACAAAGTATACTTAATACCATGATCATTTTTTTTTTTGGTACCAGGGATCGAACTCAGGACCTTGCACTTTCGAGGAAGGTGGTGGCGCCACTGAGCTAAACCCCCGGCCCTTCATGGTCATTATGCAGCCAGAAAGGACCAGTCTGGGCCCTGTGGCCATTTCTAAAAGGCCTCTGTTCTGTGTGGTCAGTGTCTCTGCTGCTACCATTTATTAAACATTTTGAATATAATCCGTACTTATAACTCTATAGAACCATTGATTGATAAATATAAAAAGGCAGTTTAAAAATGTCATACATAAAAAGACATTACAATTACCAATAGGTTGCTTTAAAAGAAACTTGTATCCCTTGTTGGTATTTTAGTGATAAATACTATTATCAAACAAAGAATCTGTTTACCAAATAGATTTCTCAAAGACTGATAAAGCACTTTCATGCCAATAAATGCACATCTAACCTATGAATGGCATGTTAATACCTGAACCTCGAAATGATAGTAACTAAGAGTAGCACTAAGGCCCTAAGGCCACGAGAGTCTGACCAAAAATGGAAAATTGTTAAATAAAAATTACAGAAAGCCATTGTTTTGAACTAAGCTGCTGTACTAGGCTGCAGTGGACCAGCCAAATGGAATCACTCACACTAAATAAAGTTCCACTTCACCAAACAGAAACTAAATTATTTATCTGACCTTCTCAGGAAGCAAGATTAGAGAGACGACAGCCTAATTTCCCAAACAGGCCAGTCTCAACTGGCAGTAGGCATGAAATTCCCTCTGCCTTAATCCTCACAAATGGTCACCTAAAGTAGCCTGATGGTAACCACTTAGCTATTTTCCTATTGTTCTGTCTCCCTATTCCTGCCTTACAAGGATAGTGACTTGGAAATGTCAAGAAAAGAAATATATACCTATAAATATTATTAGTGCCGGTATTTAAAATAGTCTAGTTAACAGTTTTTTAAAAAGCTAAAATAAGCAAAATATTGTCTAAGTATGGACATCTTGGCTGGCCAACGGCTTGGGTTTCGCTTGTATATTCAGCACATAATCGTGGCGGAAGGATGAGCGGACGGTGCGATTCATCAGGGGCTGAAGGGGGCGGAAGTTGTCCACCATTTTTTTCTCTTTTTCCCCCTCAGAAGTGAAGAGCAGGGCCCGAAATTGCTCAAGCTAAAAATAGAAACAGAAAGCGTAAATAATGTCAATAGAAAACTGGCTTTACCTCGTGAATCAATTGCTTTCATTTTTATGATTCCGAAACGTTTGTCTCAAATTGGATTCAGAAAGAGAAATTATTTCTGGGTCAGATGCCTTCACCCTTGACAAGGAATAAAATGCCGTGTTGTTGCCATCCTTGTGTGAGGAGGAGAACAGCAAGAAATGGTGAAACCAGCTAGGCACTTGGAATCAGAAGACCGGAGACAAAGGACCTATCCCCCACATACTAGTCATTTACCAAGGGCTAGTTACTTCATCTCTGTGATTCTTGAGACCTCATTATTTTGTTTGCTTTTGTTTTTTTGAGACAGGGTCTCACCACGTAGTCCAGGACTGGCCTTGAACTTGCTATGTAGCCCAGAGTAGTGTCAACTTAAGGTGATCCTCCTGCCTCAGACTCCTGGGTGTTAAGATTCCAGGTGAGTGCCACTGAGTTCTGCTTCACGATCAGAGTTAAATGAGCAAAATAACCAAATAATAAAGGGAAGGCATGATACATATAGTAATAGTGTCAAAAATGCTTTCATAATTTAACAGAATCATTAAGAAAAAAATGTATAATTAGGGGCCAGGGATTTAGCTCAGTGGTTTCACCGCCTGCTGCGCTTAAGTGCAAGGAACCAAGTTCGATCCCCGGTACCAAAAAAAAAATGTATAATTAATTGCTAACTGTACCTGGGCATTGAGGACAAAGTGATGCATGTAGATTTCTTAACTGGCCGTGGGATATCCTATGCTGGAGCTGTCCGATAGGACTTTCAGTAATGATGGAAATGCCTTCTGCATTGTCCATTATAGTAATCTGAGGCCACACATGGCTACTGAACACTTGAAATGTGGTCAGTGGTGAGCGTGATTGAGGAACAGAATTTTTAAACTAAATGTATTTATATTTAAATAGAAACGCCATATGTCACTAGTGGCTGTCATATTGGATGGCACAGTTGAGTACACAAGGAGCAATCCCAAAAGAACAAGGGTTTATTCTCTGCTACAGTAATAACCCCTTGGCTTTCTTAGCAACCATTTTATAGAACACTCTACTTCAAACCAGCCAGAAAATCTGTTCACATCTCTTGTCAGTCAATGTGGCTGATTGCCGCTAGAGAGGACAGCTTGGGACACAGTGGACAAGCATGGGACAATCTCTTTGGAGCAAAGACTTCAAGCCTAGTAGAGCTAAAGAGGCAGGACTATGACCAGAGGTTTCGCTGAACACAGTGCTTATACTTGCAAATCATATATATATATATATATATATATATATATATATATATATACACCCTCATTTAGTAGGAAGTTGGAAAAGGAGTTAATGTTTATTTTTATTTAACTACTTGCAAAACATTAGAATTAGCCCATATGCCAATTAAAAAAATGACATGAAATCTATAAAATAGGCTAGTATATAGCCATTAAAAAAATGGTATTGAGGAGCTGGGTATGATAGTGCATGCCTATAATCCCAGCACTTGGGTGGCTGAGGCAGGAGGATTGCTGTGAATTCAAGGCCAGCCTGGGCTACATAGTGAGTTCAAGACTAACCTGAACTACATAGTAAGACCCTCTCTCAAAAAACCCCAAAAAACAAGAAAAGATATTGAAGATAATATTTGTCATGTATGAAATGTTCTGACATCACTGAGTGAAAAGACCAGCAGAATGACATATACATAACAATCCCATTTTTGTAAAAAAAGTTATGCATATTTATAAAGATAAAAGACCAGAAAGATTTACTTAAACAGTAAATAACATTTACTAGTAAGATTATAGGCAACTGGGATTATAGATGACAAGTTACATTCTTTTCTTACTGAATTTTCTATGTTGAAATTTTACTTGCAAATTCTTCACATGGGCCACTGATCATCTGGTTTATTTGCTCTATTTATTTTTCACTGTTGTGTTTTTTTCTTTTTTTCCAGTAAGGGAGATTGAACCCAGGGCCTTCCCACTGAGTTAATCTCCAGCCTTTTTAATATTTATTTTGAGATTTTTATGTTTATTTCACTAAGTCACTACATTGCTCAGGTTGGGATTACAGCAGTGCACCACCACACCCAGCTTGTTATATCGATTTTTAAAAAATTAATTATATTGGTACATTTAAGGTATACAATATAATGACATTCATCATTGGAAATTTGCACCTTTACATAATCTCTCTCGGTTCTTATTTTTACCCCATTCCCCTGCTCTCCCTTCAACCCCTCTACCCCTCCCTATCTACAAAGACTGTTTCCATTTTTTCATTTTCTCATATTAATTCCATTCCCTTCTTTCCTTTCCCCTACCCCTCCCACTTCTCCTTCCCCATTGCCCCTTTTATTCCTGTTTCACATTATCTATTATACCTTTTAGCCCTTATTTACACTTTCAGTTTCTCACACTAGAGAAACTATTTGGTATTTACACATGTGTGTCCTATTTATTTCGCTTAAGAGTATCGCCTCAAAGTGCATTCATTTAGCTAGAAATGTCTCTAGCTTCTCGTTCTTTATGTCTGAGTAATACTCCATTTTATTAAAAAACCACATTTTCTTTATCCAGTCTTCAGTTGATGGGCAACTGGGTTGCTTCCAAGTTTTGAATATCACAAATTGTGCTGCTATGATATGATATATGGGTGCACATATATGACTGTGGTATAATTCTTTTAATTCTTTGGGGAAGATACCCAGCAGGGGAATAGCTGGGTCAAATGGGACTTCCAATCCTAGTTCTTTGAGCTATCTCCATACTGACTTCCACAGGTTTGCACCAGTCAAAACTCCCACCAGTAGTGGAGTAGGGTTCCTCTTTCCCCACAGTCCCACCAGCATTTGTTATTGGTTGATTTCATGATAGCAGCCATTCTTTCTGGGATGAGGTGGAATCTCAGTGCTGTTTTCATTTGCAACTCTTGAATGACCCATGATTTTGAGCATTTTTTCATATGTTTATTTGCTATTTCTACTTCTTTGTCTGAGAACTGTCTGTTGACTTCAGATGCCGATTTTTGGATTGGGTCTTTAAATGTGGGAGGTCTGATGTTTTAAAGTTCTTTATAGATTCTAGATAGTAGGCCTTTGTCTGAAGGACAGCTGGTGAAAATTTTTCCCACATTGTGGGTTGTCTCTTCACACTGTTGATGGTTTCCTGTGCTTTACAGAAGCTTTTCAATAAGAAGAGATCCCACTTGTGGATTGTTTGTGCTAGTTCACGGGCAACTGACGCTTTGTTCATAAAATCTTTTCCTGCAACAATGTCTTCAAGAGTTCTTCCTAATCTCTCTTCCAGCTGGTTTAACGTTTCTGTTTTAATATTTAGATCTTTAATCCATTTTGATTTTAGTTTAGTGCATGGTGAGAGATATAAGTCTAGTTTTAGTTTTTTTTTAGTTTTGGCAAGTTGAAACCCAATTTTTCCAGCACCACTTAGTAAAAAGGCTATCTTTCCTCCAGTGAGGGTGTTTGGCTCCTTTGACAAAGATGAGGTGACTGAGTGTGTCTGGAGTTGTTTCTGCATCACCTAATATGTTCCACTGGTCCTAAGGTCTGTTTCTTTGCCAGTACCATGATGTTTTTATCAGACTTTGGTGGAGTGCTTGGGGTCTTCTATATAGAGTATCATGTCATCTGCACATAATGACAATTTGATTTCTTCATTTCCTATATCTTTATTCCTTTTATTTCTTTCTCTTGTCTAATTGCTGTGGCTAATGTTTCCAAAACAATATCAAACAGGAGTGGTGATAGTGGACATCCATGTCTTGTTCCCGATTTTAGTGTGAAGGATTTCAGTTTTTGACCAGTTAGTATGATTTTGGCTGTTTGTTTTTCATAGAAGGCTTTTGTCAGATTGAGGTAGAGACTGTCTATTCCTATTTTTAGAGTTTTTATCATAAATGCATGTTGGATTTTGTCAAATGCTTTTTCTACATCTATTGAGATGATCATATGGTTTTTGTCCTTGGCTCTGTTAATATAGTCTATTACATTTATTGATTTGCTTATGTTGAACCATCCCTGCATCCCTGGGATGAATCCCACTTGCTCAGGGTGTGTGATTTTCTTGATGATCTTCTGCATTCTACTTGCCAGCATCTTATTAAAGATTTTTGCATCTATGTTCATTAGTGAGACTGGCCTATAGTTCTTTTTATTTGGTTAGGTCTTTCTCTGCTTTGGGGACAAAGGTGATGCTTGCTTCCAGGAATGAATTTGGGAGTATTGCTTCCCTTTCAATTTCATTAAAGAGTTTAAACAGTAGTGGCAGTAGTTCCTCTCTAAACGTCTTGTAGAATTCAGCAGTGAAG